GAAGTCTCGGTTCGAGAACGATACAGTAAAACCAGGATATATACAACAGAAATTGGGACCCAAGGGACATTTCGTTTATAGAATCGAGGTATCGAATGCGGGTTATGCGCGACGCCAGCCAAGCGTGAACGTCGAAAGGGACAGACAGTAGAAGAGGGAGAGAGGTCCAAGATTTCAAAGCGAGGAGCCGAAACGTATCGGTGTGACTAATGCTAATTCATTTACAAAACTTTTTTATTTTTGACTTTTTTTAAATAAAATTTTTACTAGCGCATTGGTGAGATTTTTTTGATTAAAATGATACCGAACACGATATACTTTCAATTATATTTATTTATTTATTCAGAATATGCTGCGGAACTATTGACTGCAAATTAGGAGCTTTATGATGTTAGGAAATGCCCGTAATTTCAAACCGGACAGTTTTTTCCTATTGAAAATTAAAGTAACGTACAAGCTAACAATAATAATAGAATAATAATAAAATAAATAAGCAATAATAATAGAATAATAATAAAATAAATAAGCAATAATAATAGAATAATAATAAAATAAATAAGCAATAATAATAGAATAATAATAAAATAAATAAGCAATAATAATAGAATAAAGAACATCGAATCGACACCTCGGCTGCATATAAACGATGTGTGCGGCCGCAGAATCGACACCTCGCCTCGCTTGGATATGCGCAATGTTTTGATTCGATCTCTCTGGCTTTTCGCCAACTTTTAACATCAATTTTAGCAAGTAATTACGATTCAAGCTATATCATGTTTGGTATCATTTTAATCAGAAAAATCTCAACAATGCGCTAGTAAAAATTTTATTTAAAAAAAGTCAAAAATAAAAAAGTTTTATAATTGAATTAGGATTAGTCACACCGATATGTTTCGGCTCTTCGCTTTGAATTCTTGGACCTCTCTCTCTCCTTTACTGTCTGTCTCTTTCTACGTTCATGCTTGGCTGGAACCGCACGTAAACATAGAATCGACACCTCGGCTGCAATGTTTGGATCGCAAATCACCCTTGCATTTATTGTGCTTTTACTGTACATAATAATAAGAAAAACATGCAGTAGAAAAGAAAAGCAGACATAGTAAAAGAAGATACAGTAAAATCTGAATGACTGCATTTTGCTCAGGATTGAACGCGATTTGTAATTTATACAGAGAAACAAAATGCGAACTCTAATACAGGATACGTTTCTCGAGCGAGTTCAGCTCGTCTTTGATGTGACAGCCGCGAATCGAGGCATCGTACGGGGATAGAATCGAGGCAGCGTACTGGGATAGAATTATAGAATTGAGGCAGTCTATTTTTGGCCCGTTGAAAAAGTCCACAATATTTTAGAGCAGGGTTTACCAAAGTACGTTCCGTGGAAGTTCAGTGTTCCGCTGAACCTGAATAGGTGTTCCGCGACAATTTGGAAAGTTTTATATTTCAACATAATTAGTAAATAAATAATGTTTTAATTTTTACTAATAGCAATTACTGAACCTAAAAAATAAGCTAAGTGTTCCGTTAAAATTTACAGGTTTGCAAAAAAATATCTTTTCAACGAGGGGCTGCAGGGTGGTATTTCATTTTATGGCAACTTGTAAACTAATAACGAAACGAAGGGGTCCGATAAACACGTGTTCGCCTTTCGCGAAGTAAACCCTGCTTGACCGCGCCGCTGACAGAAAGCAGACCTATTCAATTGTCAGAAACATTTTCTAAGCAGTTTTTCGAACTATTCACAATTGACTAGTCAGTTTCGTACACGTGTTTAGGAGGTCATGGGAAGTTTCGGACAATATTATGATGACAGTATAGCATTTTGTTAGTGAAACAATATTTTTACGAAACATGTTTACATAAAAAAATATGATGTATTACAGAAAAAATATAATTACTTTTCTTACGTCCGGAGAGATATTTCTGGTACGCAGGAATGTATGAAAGATTTGACAATCGATATTGCCACGAAACGGGATCGAACGTTGTACGAGGACGTGGACGTTCCTTTTTTCCCATTCAATGTGATCAAGATCTCGGTTACGTTTGTTTATTTCAGATGAAGCCAATTGTACACATTAGTGGGGATAACCCAGACCTCCGAGCGAGCAGCATCGAACTATTCAAATTATATACGGAACCGAATAATAATAAACGTTATAAAACGATTACGAGAATTCGAACTTTCATTTCCCCGGATTCAGGACAATAACGACAAATCGAATGTACCAGCTTCGAAATCTAATTTGTACGATGTAGGTATATTCAACGAACAGTATTCTTCGATCCTCGCGGTTACTTTGTTGCTGTCAATGGATCATAAAAGAGAAGGATACAACGAGGGTCGTAGCAGCCAAAAAATAAAGCTAGCGCGTACGAATATCCCGAAGTGCATGGTACTTGAGATGTAGAAACATTGCCAGGGCTGAACAAAGGTTGCTAGTGAGGCCTGGAGAATGTTTCGAAGACTAAACTTTTCAATGAAACACTTTTACTAAAGGGACACATGGATGTCTTACATATTGCAGACAAAAATCCACAAAAAAAGAAGCAATGTGTTTCGTATTCAATAAGTAACTACGCTGAACATTTAATCGCAAAGCATCGATGACTGTTAATAACTTTAAACATTACCTTCGTATAACAAAATTATATACAGTCACTCACAGTGAAAATCGTCCACCCGCGACGGAGCGTATATTTATCTATATAAAACAATAAATAGAAATAAAATACATTGATTGTGCATATCAAATTACATAAGTGATTCTTATAGATTTTTGTATTGTCGCAATTTTGTAATTGCGCTCTAGGTAGGTATAAAGAAAACTCTCTCCGCTTCATACTCTTTCCGCTTCAATTTCATTCGCTTTCACTCATTCGGCGTGCATCTCATTCCCATTCAAACATCCTTTCTCTCACTGCAGTATGCTAAATCCGAATCTGTAAACTATTGTTATGTAACTTTTAGTTTTTTAGATAATCAATCTTCAACAAAAATTGCAAGTATTCAACTTTAGAAATGATTTATGCATGTTTAGATTCTTAGTTTTTGAAATATAATGAAAAATATCAGGAGATGTGCGATTTAGGGATCTGTAATGTAATAACAATTTATATCATTTTATTCTAACTATGTAGAATAATTTGATATGCATAATCAATGTATTTTATTTGTATTTATTGTTTTATTTAGACTAATATTCTGTTTGTTACAGGTAGACCATTTTCACTGTGACTGACTATACATATAACATACACTCGGAAACAAAAGAAGTGAACACTGTACAAAATAGAATGCCCCGGTTAAAATTGGACTAAATAACGAGGTTTTTTGAGAAGCTATAAAAATTAATTCAGTAAAATATGTATAAATGCCTTGACCGATCTGGATGAAATTTTCAGCACACACATAACTTATTAGAATCTACGAAAGACATATTTAAAATTTTATTATAAACTCACATAAAAATGTTGAAAAATTACCATTCACTATTTTTTTCACGATTTCAACAAATTGTCATTTTTTTAAACGAGAAAAATACATATTTTAGTGAATTAATTTTTATAGCTTCTCAAAAAACCTGAAGTTATTTAGTCCAATTTTAACCAAGGTATCTGTTTTGAATAGTGTTTACTTATTTTGTCCCTGAATGTATAAAAAAAATACCGTGCTATTACTACATGACAAACTGTAACATCATACAAATTTATACCATAAAACGTAACTTACCTTTTTCGACGTCTCTTATTTGTGGTCAAACGCCTTGTAAATACATTCAGTTTGTTCTTCCTTGTAGTACTCTTCAAATAGCGCTTGTTGTTTGTATGTGCGCCTTCGTTTTTTCCTTCCATGGTAATGGTCATACACACACCGATTTTCACTGCACTTTTGAATTACGCGGAAATGAAAAAATAATTTCATATATCAATACCCGCGCAATTCAATTGTTTTCTGCGTCTGCAGCGTAGTGCAAGCGACCAAAAACTGATCAGCTAGCGCTGATCACCGCTCAGCGATGCTGAGACGCAGAACGAAAGATAAACAGAACGGAACAGGATGGATGTATGCATCCTGTTCCTCTCTTTCTCATTAGGACTAGTGTATACTGCTACATTTCCATAGATACATTTACATTTAGAGTATGTACTTTAGGGGATACTTTTTGTTCCGTTAAATTTCGCCGCGGCGTATTTTCCGCGGTTGGGAATCTGCAGGAAAATGAGCGAGGTGCCGGATCGCGTTTACCGAAGCGCAGGAGTCTTGAAAAGGCGGAAGCAATGAACTCCACAGCAACGTGTTGCGTAGTTTTAGCAAAAACTCGTTGTATTTAATAAATTAACAGTTAGTCTTAGGAATAAAAAGTTTATATTTCAATCCTCTATTCACTAAATTAATCCGCGTTATTGCGGTTCGCCGAAGCACTTGGTTCGAGCGAAGCGCCAGAAAAAGAAAAAAGGAGAGATTTGCGGATCTGAATTCTCCGAAAAGCGTTCGCGAGATAAGAGTGAGCCCCGTCTCAGAGCGACGACAGGCTCGCACCTCTCCCTCTCCCTCCCGGCGTCCTCGCCCCACACCGCTGGCCAACGGCGTGAGAGAGATGGGCGCCGATGAGAGAGGGATGGCAATACGACAGAAGTCAGTCGCGTTAGACATTGGGGAAACAGTTCGCTCGAACATACCGCCCGCCTTCTTCGGTGATACGAAGAATGGTTGACGTGAATCAAGGCAAATAACCTCTAGAGTTTTACTAGTACAAACCATGAGTGCTTACACGCTAGTTACAAAGGTAAACTAATTAATAATAATTTTAATACAAAGCAATCAAGTAAAGCAAAGTGAATAAAGAGTAAATATAAAATAACAAATAGCAATTAGAATAGTAAACTAGACCAACCAAAGTAAAGCAAAAAGAATTACGCGGAAAATTTCGGTCGTAGTTTACAAAGAGAAAAAGAAAAAGGAAGTTAAAGTTAAAGTATCTTAGCTGGTATCGATGCTAAGAGGCGTCGGTTGGCGATACTGGTAAGGGGCACAGCTTGACGATTGGCCTCTTAACAGTGCCCTTTTCAGTGCGTAGAGTTACCACTCTAACGCATCCATCAGGTCCTGGGTGTAGTTCGGTGACGCGTCCCATCAACCACTTTGCTGGTGGCTGTAAGTCGTCCCGGATAAGCGCCAGGCTGCCGATTTCCAAATTCTCCCGGTAACGACGCCACTTCGGAAACTGTTGGAGATGCTGTAATTTCTCCTTGACGACGTGTACCGTGGCTCCTCTTCTCTCTGCCTCTATTCCCTCGTTGGACTCCGGAAAGGTCGCCGGCCAGAATTCAGGCTGTTCCGTCAACCATTTCGGCCCGTGCCACCAGATATCGGAGTCGACGAGCTCGGCTGGGCTCATTCCTCGGGTTGCCAAGTCCGCTGGATTGTCCGGAGAGCGGATGTGCCGCCAATTGTCCGCCGGTATCTCGTGCTGGATATCGGAGACTCGATGGGCAACGAAGGGTTTCCATTGAGATGCATGGCCGCGGATCCAGTGTAAGGTTACACTTGAATCCGTCCACGCGATGGTCGGGCCAGACATATTAATGCCTTCTTTGACCCGAATCAATAATTTAGATAACAAGGTGGCTCCACACAGTTCCAACTTCGGAATTGTTATAGTCTTTACCGGGGCCACCTTAGTTTTTGCGACCAAAAGCGAGGTCGTTACCAACCCATTGTTATTGACCCGCAGGTACACCGCTGCCGCATAAGCTCGCTGCGAGGCGTCACAAAAACCGTGAAGTTCCATCTGGGTGGACGGCTCTGATGAGGCAAATGTCCAGCGTGGGATCTTCAGGGTATCCAATTGCGGCAGGGAGCCTCTGAAGCGCTGCCACATAGTGCAGACGTTCTCTGGCAATTGCTGATCCCAGTCCGCTCCAAGGATCCAGAGGTCCTGCATTAAAATCTTGGCCACGACTAGGACCGGCGCCGCCCAGCCCAGTGGGTCGAAGAGGCCTGCGATTTCCGAAAGGATAGACCTCTTGGTGGTGCATTCTCTCACCAGCTCAGCGGCTGCGACTCGAAGGGAGAAGGCATCATCCCTAGGATTCCAGTTCACGCCTAGTGTGCTGATGCCGGACCATTCCTGAAACAGGCGCGTATTAGAAGAGTCGGCTTCTTGAATTTCCGGTATGTTAGATGCCCATTTGCTTAGTTCGAAACCGCCAGCTTTGAAAATTGCCACCACTTCTCTTTTCAAAGCCAGGGTCTCGCTGACATCATCCGCCCCGGTGAGAATATCATCGACATAAGTGTGTCGACGCACCACCGAAGCTCCTCGGGGAAATCGGCTGCTTTCGTCGTTCGCCAGCTGGGCAAGTACCCGTAAAGCTAGGAAAGGCGCACACGCCGTGCCATACGTCACCGTTGTAAGCCGAAAGTCCTGCACTCGTTCGTCGGGAGTGGCGCGCCAAAGGATGCTTTGCCACTTAGTATCCTCTGAATGGACTCGGATCTGTCTGAACATCTTGACAATGTCCGTGGTGAATACGACCCGAAAAAGTCGCCAGCGGGTCAATACCATCCACAGGTCAGCCTGGAGCTTCTGACCAGTGGCGAGGCAGTCGTTTAGCGATTGGCCCGTGGCTGTACAAAAAGAAGCATTAAAAACGACCCGTAACTTGGCAGAAGGATCGTGACGCTTGCGTACGGCGTGGTGTGGCAGGTAATGCGCAGGCCCTTTATCCGCTTCTTCGGGTGCACCCTGCATGTGCTGTAAGGTCAGGTACTCCATCATAAAATTTCGATACTGCTCTTTCAGCGTAGCATCCGAGGATAGGCGTCGTTCACAATTGAAGAGGAGTTTCAACGCCGTCGTCCTGTTGGACTTCAGCGCAGTCCGCGGGTCCTTTACGAAGGGAAGGCGCACCACGTAGCGTCCCGATGGATCTCGAGCATGGGTGTCAAGGAAGTGACGCTCACACTTTTCCTCTTCTTGTGACATTGGAGCCCGTTCTCGAATCTCGTCCAGCTCCCAGAACCGCTGGAGGAGTTGGCTTGTGGAGTCCTCGCCGTGGCAGTGAAGAACCCGAGCGGCCGTCTCCGCCTTGGGTTTGTCGTCGGAGGCTGGTCCCATAAGCACCCAGCCAAAGGGGGTGAGTTTCGCTGTTGGAGTACCCTCTGGCCCTCTGCGCGAGTCGTCACCAAAGAGCGTTCCGCAAACATCCGCACCTAAAAGTAAATCTACCCGAGCCGGAACTCCGTACTCGGGGTCAGCAAGCGTGAGACCGGTAATATGCGGCCAAGACTTTGCCACGATGCGTTTGCTCGGGAGCAACGACGTTAGTTTGCGGAGTACCAACGCACGAACTGGTAATCGGAAGTCCGAGGGGTGTCGGGGTCGAACTACAAGTGATACCTCTCCGGTCGCGTGTCCAACCTCATTGTCCTTAACGCCTGAGATGGCCACTCGCACCGCCCGCCGTGGAAGACGTAGCGCCTGAGCGACCCACGATGAGACGAGAGAGGTATCGGAGCCGGTGTCCAGAAGGGCTCGGACCTCTACGGTTTCTCCTGATGGCGCCTCCAATCTCACCTTGGCGGTTGCGAGTAAGGCCACGGCTTTTGAGCCAACCGATAGAGAGAGGGTAGTCACCTGCTGAGTTGCGTCGTCAGACGTCGAGGCAGCGTCTTCTCGTGCCGGCTGTCCGCCTTCACGGCCTGGTGCGCTTGCCGGTGGAGCCGTCAGCGCCTCGTGCAGTAACGTATGGTGTCGCTTGCTACAAGCTAAACAGACTTGTTTAGACGGACACTTACCCACTTCGTGTCCTACATTCAAACAGCTCAGGCAGGCCTTCAGCTGTTGGACGCGCTCCTTGCGTTTTGCCGGCGACAGCGCCTTGAATTTATAACAAAATCCTAGACCGTGGGTGCCCGAACACCCCGGACATTTCCGGGCCGGGGGCGACTTTGATGCTGCGGCTAAGACGTTAGAGTTAACGCCTTTTGCTGATGCTCCTCCTTTTGTTTTAGGTTTGATTTCCTTTGAGCTGGTCGGCGACACAGCGTGGAGTGATGGGTCCGTCATGCCTGCAGCGCCTAAAGCTTGGATCCGGTTCTCCAAGAACTGCGATAATTGCTGGAACCGCGGGATTTCCCGGCTATCCGCCAAAGAAGTCTCCCAAGCAAGGTGAGTAGTTTTGTCAAGCTTTTGGCTTAGTAAGTATACAAACCACTCATCCCATGAAGTAACGGGTTTCCTCAGTGTAACGTACGCCCTAATCGCCTGGCGGAAAGTGTCTAAAAGCCGCTTCAATTCGCCAGCTGACTGCTGCAGGGCTGGTGGGCACAAGAGGAGCGCTCGATGATGGGAAAACGATAACAGACGAATGTTACCGTACCGGGCTTCCAGATCGTCCCATGCTCCCCTGAAGCCGGAGTCCGTTATCGGCGTATTCCGAATGACCTCGGCGGCCTCACCTGTCAAACTAGACTTCAAATAGAGTAGCTTCTGTACGTCAGGTAAGTGGCTGACGTCATGGACTAGACTTTTAAAAAGGTCGCGAAAGCTCTCCCATTGTAACGGATCGCCCGAAAATTTCGGCAAATCAATTTTAGGCAGTTGCGGGTGGGGCGGAGGCGCAATATTGGACTGTTGAACATGCGAGGAGCAAGGGGACGGCAACTCTTTCAGGTGATGGGAAATCATGGAGGCTGCGTCGAGGTAAGCTTCTTCTGTGACCGAAAAGGCGTCCTCTTTGACATATGAACTAGAACTCGCCTCCTTGCATCTCATCAATTTACGGTGTCCGCTAAGGAACGTGTCCCAGTATCGGTTGAGCAAACCCTGTCTCTGCTCTAAAACCGCTCCCGTCAGCTTGTCCTTTCCTAACTTGCATACGTTAGCCCAGAATCTTTGTATCCACCCCGCTACTTCCTCTTGTTCACGCAGAAGATCCGAAAAGGACGTAGTCATGATCGCAATTCAAGGCGAAATTTAATTTAATATTTCGATAGAGAACCACTGAGACCGTACTTCTAAGCCTTTCAACGCGTACCGTAATGTTGGTAAATATTAGTCGCGCTGACTTACCCAAAGTCGTTAGGCTCTCGGCGTGACGTCACAAAGCGTGGTCGTTGCCGTTGAAACAAAGGATGGTTACGTAACCGGTTTTCAATCGGCTCTTCTTTTCAGATTCCTGGTTGGAGATTTTCGCTGATCTGGATCGCCGAAGAAGATCTCCACAGGTGAAGAAGAAAAGCCAGATGCACTTGAAGCACAGAGTTCACTTGCACGATTTTCCCGAAGCACCGTTGTTCGTTTAACCAGATCCGGCTCGAAGGACCAGTTTGTTCCGTTAAATTTCGCCGCGGCGTATTTTCCGCGGTTGGGAATCTGCAGGAAAATGAGCGAGGTGCCGGATCGCGTTTACCGAAGCGCAGGAGTCTTGAAAAGGCGGAAGCAATGAACTCCACAGCAACGTGTTGCGTAGTTTTAGCAAAAACTCGTTGTATTTAATAAATTAACAGTTAGTCTTAGGAATAAAAAGTTTATATTTCAATCCTCTATTCACTAAATTAATCCGCGTTATTGCGGTTCGCCGAAGCACTTGGTTCGAGCGAAGCGCCAGAAAAAGAAAAAAGGAGAGATTTGCGGATCTGAATTCTCCGAAAAGCGTTCGCGAGATAAGAGTGAGCCCCGTCTCAGAGCGACGACAGGCTCGCACCTCTCCCTCTCCCTCCCGGCGTCCTCGCCCCACACCGCTGGCCAACGGCGTGAGAGAGATGGGCGCCGATGAGAGAGGGATGGCAATACGACAGAAGTCAGTCGCGTTAGACATTGGGGAAACAGTTCGCTCGAACACTTTTTAATGCAAAAATGTGCACAGGAAAGAATTTGTTATTATCCTGTGCATATACTTTTGATGTATCAACGACTTTATTAGGAAAAAATTCTTATTTCGTTGTACAGTTATCCTTTCCCACTTGCCTAACGGCGAAGGAACACCCTCCAAGTATACGCGGGCACGCCGCACATTTTCAAACCTTTGCGCATTCGAATTTTAACACGGGCCGCTGACGTATCCCTCTATCCTTGGTGCAAGTGAAATACAAAATGTTGAGTGAGTGAGAAAGGCAATTTGGGCCCTGTCCACTTTTGAGGGTAGCAAAGGCTCGATCGTCAGAAAATAAGTGACCATCAAGAAGCGAACATCGTAAGTACCTTCAAGTTTACTACTCCTCTCTTTTTCACTATATGTGCCGGTAATATGAAAGTGGTGTAATTTCAAATTTTCCATTTATTACATTTCACTTATTTTTTTCATACTTTTTAATGGATTTTGAAGTCGGTTGCTTTTTTTGTTAAAAATTATTTTATCTTTTATCGTATCATGTGTTGGGGGATGGATACACATTGTTGATTCACATAATTTATTACATATTAGATCAACATGATACATAATAAACATAAGGTTCAATTTATTTCTTTTTAATTTGCACTAACGCCACTTTCATAAGAACCGATACACGTCTACAGTTTACTTTCAACCTAAGACGGTATTTAGACATATTGCGGGTGAAGTTTCATTATCATCACAGTATTGTTATAATTTTGTGTGCGAAATCTAATGTGTCAACTGTGATTGTTTCAGTGTTTGCATGTTCTTTACAATCCGAGATTCGTATATTTGTTCTCACGTAGAATAATAAAGTTATGTTATAATTCACCTGCAAAATGTCTAGAAAAAAAATATACTTTCGGGTGCAATACAGGTTTTCTTGAGTTGAAATTTAATTGAACTTTAAAACCACAAAAGTTAGACATTTGAAAATACAGATATTTGGAAAGTTGATAATCTTAGAATTACAAATGTTGGAAATAGATGCATTTGAAAGTTTTTAAACTTGGAAATTCCAGCGTTTATAAATCTGAACATTACGCTCCTGCGCTAAATCTTGGCCGAAGGAAGCCTATCTTGTACCCGAATGTACAACCTTGATAAACATGTACTCTTCTATGTATTGCAGTTTCAAATCCATTTTATAGTTTCATTGTTTGTTTCACTTGTTTTTAGATGAGTAGCAAAGAAGGTAGCAAAGAAAAGCGGACTCCATCCCGAGAACGGAGCCCGACCGGAAGCCGGAGCTCAAGAAGAAGCCGGCGTCGGTCCGAAGGACGGAGCCCGACCAGAAGCCGGAGCTCAAGAAGAAGCCGGCGTCCGTCCCGAGGACGGACTTCGTCGCGGGATCGGAGTTTGACAGTAGCCCGAAACAGGACGTCGTCCGTAGAGGGCAGTACGGAATCCAGTACGTGGTGGCCGGAATACGTACGATATCGGGAAATGGCCCGTGCGTATAAGAAGAAGGTATGTAAATACGTTACGATCGATTAGTGTAGGTCAGCATTTGCACGACTTTAACATAAGCTTTATGTGTATTTTTCAAATTACAGATAACCGAGCTGAAAAACGAAGTAAAAATGTTAAAGTATTGGGCAGGAGTAGGAAGAGGAAGAGGAGGATGAGGAGGAAGCGGAGGAAGCGGTGGCAGAGGCGCGATACATTTGTTAATTTTTAATTGAATTTTTTTTTATTAGTATTTTTATTATAAATAAAATGAAATAAAGAATAAGGTGTTTATCATTCTTCAGCCCACCCTTCTTTTGAGTTTAAATTTGTCAGTTATACATACGCATATTTATATATGTACATACATATACGTTTACTATACGTTTTATACAATAGTCGGTAGAATACAAAAGAATAAAAATAAGAGAAATAATTTGAAATAATTGTTGTAACTTCCACACTTTGAAAATATATCAGTAAATCAATACTACCAGTATTAGTAAAAAAGTTCCAATCCTTCTTTTTTTATTTTTAATAATATTGCCATATAATTAGAATATAAATTCGACAGTGATTTCAAGTAACCGATGACGTTTAAAATAAGCCGTCCCTACCATACATATAACCTAACTTACAATCGTACGAAAATGAATACATTGCCTGCGTCATGCTTTTACTCTGGCATACATATGTATCACGGTAACGGTTCGGTTTTCCTATGATTCCACGTTAGCAGTCCTCCTGAGTAGGCGCCATCTCCTAACCACTAGCCGAACTAAATTTGTCACGTGACTTGCTCTGTAGTATCCAGATAATGGCGGAACTCGTTTTTGGGAATGCTTTTACGGGAATCTGTTATTCGTCCTTATATGAGAAGATCTTGAGCTGAATAAGGGCTCATTCGAAAGAGGAAGGTTCAATGAAGGGGGCTCAACAAATCGTTTTAGTCACAAAACTCTTATAGTTACCTAAAATGTACTTGGATTCAACGGGCGTATTTTCTCGATTTTTCCTCTACTTTGGACACTCATATTATTAGATATTAACACAATCTCGTTAAACCATCGGTTGAGCCCCCTGTATTGGACCTTCCTCTTTCGAATGAGCCCTCACCCAGCCCTAAGTGTTCTCATATAAGGACAAATAACCGATTCCCGTAAACCCATTAATAGGCCCATTTTTGCCGGTAATGTCACCTCGCTGCATTACCCGTGTTTACCCCCTTAACGATTAAGTAGATTTTATTAGTAGCTGTGGAATACTGGTATAAATGAAATAGAAATTATCTTGCACTGTGCATGTTGGCGAAATTCCCCAAATTGTCTCAGCCTACAAAGTTGGCAACGAAAGTATTTCGTCGGTGCGTCGTTACCGATAGCGGTAGCACCTCTCGGGCCCACTTTGTCCACGCGGTCTCCTCTCCACGCGCTTGCCGGCACGATCGACGCCATCATCAATCGTGTTCTTCTTGTTCGTACGCTCAACGTGAGAGCACGTGTCAGGCCACGCGAGACTTACGTTACAAGTACGCCATTGTGACCACGCGACCGTCCAATTTTTCGCAGCCCACGCGCGTTTTATGTGTGTTACGCTTCATAGTTGTACATATTGTAAATAAAGGTTATCATTAATAATTAAAGGGGCGTGTCTCACTCTCCGCCCTCGCAGACCACGCAATTCCGATAACAGTGCATTTCGAAGTGGGATTTTTTTTTGTTAAAAATTATTTGATCAATTATGAGATCAGGTTTGAACGTATTACCTTCTGTATTTATTGTTGGTTCGATAAATACCTCATTGGTGTCTTGGTGTTTATTAGCTATAAAATATTTAATCTCGTCATGCCATTTTATCCTTAATCCTTTAGTGAATTGGCATAAGCCTAGGATATGACCTAGTGTTTCGGGATGTGCATTGCATCATCTACAGGAGACATTAATTTTCTTGTCCGATCGAGCTAGTACGACCCTCGTGCCAAAGGTATTCGTTCTTAATCGGATGGCATCGATACATCTCGACGGCTTTAGTAGATGGGTTCCTCTCAGCCATACATTACCTATTTTATATTGCACGAACTCGTTAACTCCCTGTCCTTGACTTTGTAGGTTAAGCCATTGCTTTATATGGTCATTTTTTAAACTTTTTTTGCATTTATTAAATCTATTTTAGCGGGCCAATTGATCCTAAGAGAAATTCCGATATATTTTTATTTCTTTTCTCCTTGTTCGTCGATCAAATTGGAGGTAGCTGGATCCCGCGATTCTTTTATGGTAATCGCGTTTTTTAAGACAGTAATTTTGATAATTTGTTCGAAATGAGGTAGTCCTAGTCCCCCATTGTTTTTCGGGAGCGCCTCTTCAGCGCGCAATACGTTTGCGCACTATACTTTGGACACAGTATTATTGCGCACAGTAAGAATTGGGCACAGCTTTATTGCGCACTTGCAGAATATCATACGGCACAGTTGGGCACCGTAAATGTTGTGCACAGTATCAATTGGAATATTTATATATTATTTGATTTTTTCAGTTTGTGAAGCTGTTTTAGACTTATCAATTGTTGTATCTATATTATTGGTAATCAGGGATCTATAATAATATATTCGAAATGTTAATAATACAAAGAT